AATATTATGTGCAGTTTGGTCACTTATGTTCAAACAAAACTGATTTAAAGTGGAACAATTATAGAAAAAGGCCAACAGGATGACTAGAGGCTGGTATGAATGTAAGAATGCGTGTATCAAAAGCCTACCTTAAAAGCAAAGATTAGAGAAGGCTGGCTTTTCTAGTTTAGCTAAATGAAGGCTGACAATAAGATTGCTGTCTCTTTATACACTAGAAAAATAAATGCTGGGGATGGAACAAGAAATAAAGGTCAATACTGGCACAAATTGACAAAAGGACAAATGCACATAAGCTTGTCATGAATACACTTAGACTGAAAATCAGAAGTTTATAGCCATTACAGAGATCAAGCACCAGGGCAGCTTTCTAACTGGAATAGCACAGATAAAAAAGTTAACTTTTTAAGCTGGAGCTTGACAAGTTTCTGAAGAGGATTATATAAGTTTTCCTACGAGAAAGCGGCACTAGAGTTGACAAAGAGGTCCTTTCCAGTCCTATGCTCTTATTTCCTTCAAAGTGGTCTTGATGTCTTTGCCATGGTGATATTTACAAAACAAAGCTACAGAAAATCAACTCAGTGGTTTTAAGCATTACAAATGTTTTAAACCTCCAAGCTTTGAAAAGCATGCATTCCATTAGCTGGGGAATGAGTCTCTCTAGTGTGAACTGATATGCTTATGGAAATCTGGTTTCATAAATCTTTAAAATGCAGTTCTCAAGAAATCATTGAGCAAATTTGTTTAAACAATGATTGATTAAACAATCTAAATATGCAACACCTAATGAGGATTACATATCAAAGTCAAGTCCCAGACTTCAGGTCTTTTGCCATCAGAAAAAAAAGCTTTATTAGCTTTCAAATAGTATATTCTGCCTATCCACCCCCTTAAATTCAAACACAGAAGGGATTTTGTTCAAACTTTCAAAAAAAGACCCAACCCACAATTGGATAAAGACCAGACATAGTCCAAAAGCTTAATGTTTCAGCAAGTAAGGAGTACATGGAAAGAAGGCATTAATGGAAACTGGTTTGGAACTCTAAGCACAGAGGATGATATCTAGTGACTGCTATAATACTGAATCTGCACCGCCATTAAACTTAATCTTCGATATTTTTATTGCAACCTGACCCACTATGACATCTCTACAGAAAATTACATTGTACACTACTATTTCAAAAGTCAAACTTAGCTAGTCATCTGGGCCATAAAATAGCAGATTACTCCATCAGGCTGGCTAAAGCAACTAGGAATAAAACTAGATTTACCAACCACATTATTTTTATTAGGAAATGTTTCAAAGCAGACATAATCCCAAAAGACCTTAGCCTCATTCCATCCAAAAATACACAACCGAGAGTGGCAAAAACATGAACTGCATTATAAGGTACAATTTGTAAATGTAAGAAAAAAAATACAGGATGTACTGTAATATATCATCCTATCAAAGCTAAATAAATTAACTGAACATAGGAACAGAAAAGAATAAAAACTTCAACACAATACATGTATTAACAATTTAAACCTGTGTTATAAGATCTGACATTTGTTAATAGGAATTGCTTCACTGAATCCCTGCACATCAAGATTTAGTCTGTATTTCTTTTGCTTTCTTTGCAATTGCAGGCTAATATAGGTGTACTAAATCACAGCTGCAGAGTAAAACCTCCAGAACAGGCAAAAGGAAAAAACAGTATTTTTAACGACAATATTCCTGAAGAACTCTGGTATGTTAGCAATACAGGCATTTTATTTTGGATCACAGCCACAGAACAGCTAACGCACTGCTTCTTCTGTAATCATTCTAAATGTGGGGAACTGCTCATAATAGTAACAGAAAAAAAGCAACAAATTTACTTGGCAATCCTAACACTTCTCAGTAATTCCTTGTACCGTCATGTTTTCTAACAGGTATTCACGCATACATAATATATAGGTCTTTGTAGATCTGGAGTGAAGGAGAAGTAAGGGATTTGAAAGCTGGAAAAGCAAGTTTTAAATTTTAAATACTGCCAAAGTAGGTTAGATGTATTATGTGTGTTTTATCATCTAACCAAGCGTTCACGTCTTTCAGTTTTAACCTTTTTTTTCCTAGGCAATGTGATCACCTCAGGCAGTTTGGTTTAAAGGCTTCAACCAATGTACAAATACATTTAAATTAGCCAGGCATTTGTTACTTTTATTTTTACTTAGATACTGCCTGTATTTTACAAAGGTGGTTCAATTATGCTAGCTGCATTGAATGCAGAATATTAATCAGACTGTGAAACTCCACTAATTACATGCCACATTTAAGTAACTTAAATTTTGTTAAGTGGCATGGCCACAGATATTGTATGCATAATCTGAGTTTTGAGTCATTTCCCTTTTCTTGTCTGATTTTATTCTACGCAGGAAATGACAGGGTCATTTGGAAATAACTGCAGTGAAAGATCAAAAAGGAAACCTGATTGAGAACACTCTATAATTGCCTGTGCTAGAGAAAAAATAAAATCCAATGAGTTTACAATCCATCGCTGTAAGATTTCTCTGGAAAACACATACTGTGGTTTCTCTAAAAGGATATCCGTTACAACACTAAGTACTCCTTTTATTTGTTGTAGCTGCATCTCTCAAAGAAGCAGGTCTTCTCATTAGGCTATTGGACTTTTATTCAGCAGGTAATACTTTCGGCACACATGGAGCACAAATTTACTCACTGAGCTAAAGCAAGCCATTTCAGCTGAAGCAAATCATTTCAGCTGAAGCAAGTAATTTCACTGACTTGTCTCAAAGTCTTCATTTGCAAAAGTAGATAATACTGTAATTAAGCTCTTGGAACACCATGGTTCCTGTTATTTGGGCAAATCTGACCATTACAATTTACAGTCCCCATTCCAGGAGAACAGACTTTTATCGCTGGCGCTAAAATAAAACCTTTTAGACGTTAGCAGCACTCAGCTTAGTGTAAGGATCACATCCATCTGTGGACCACAGTGGGTCTACATGGGCTTTTTTTTTTTTCTGGTAAGACGTTGATCTACATAGCAAGACAGCAGTCAGCCTTTCAGCACAGATTTATCATCTACTTTCAGCACACAGACATCCCAGTCGATCTCCTGCCCCCTTCTGTTCCCTGAGCAGATGCGCTGCAGAGCACACAACTCCCAGCATGCTCCTGCCATAGCTATACACACCAAACCACACCTGCCCCATGTAATTGTCAGGGTTTGAGCTGCTGAGCTGCAAACATAGAAGGTAACACTCTCCTCTATGGATAAGCATCCTAAACACAACGAAGTTGTAGCAAAAGAACTTGAAGCCTATGTTGGGTTCTCCTCCCATCACATTTTAACACATAAAGCAAGTGCAAATAATGCCATAAACTTTTATGTATAGCTTCAATGTCTTAAACTGTTACTCGTTGAAGAACAATGTATCACTCTATCAAAATAAACTCTTACAGGAATAAAAGCATTGATTTTCTTGGGCATTGCAGTGTGTTTTCACAAATTAAAGACTCTCTGCCGTGGAACTCAGCACACAAAACAGACAGATCAAACCGAACTGGCACATAGGTAAGAAATGTCCATAAAAGAGTTATGGCTAAAAATTGCCATGAAGTTTTTTGTGACAGTTATAATTGTAGATCGCACTTGTTCCTTTGATGCATCATCACCCAAGTAATTCACAGAAACACATTTCTGCCATTCCTTACTGGAGGTGGTACTCCTGAGCAAACTGTGCAGAGCAACCACTCTTCCATGACTGGGACAGGGTACACTCATCTCAGCCATCCAGAAATGGGTTTTAAGAAAACACAAAGACATTTCTTTTAAGCTAGTCTACAACTGATAAGATACATTACCCAAATTTACACAAGAAATTACTTAATCAAAGCCTCATTAAAAATAATTTTACCAATTACAAAGTGCCAACCAGCCATTGATCTGATTAGCTAATATAAAAATCAACCCTAACACGGTAACGCTGAAACCCTGCTCAGCTTATGTAATGACAGTTTTGTCACTGATTTCATCATAGTTGGGATTTTAACCCACCTTAGGAATGATTAGGATAATTTCCAAACATTTGCATCCATGTCAAGAAGCGTCCTTCTTTTTTATAATACGGTTATTTAAAAGCAACACAGGAAGAAATTATCCCACATCATTTACAGAGTCAAACCACCAGCTTAAAGTGCAAAGAAAATTTTCCAGTGCATTAACTTCAACTTCACTGTGTACTGATGAGCTAAAATATAAGTGCCATCAAAAAAAATTCCACTACCGTGCCTCTCTGAGCAACCAGTTTTCTCCTAATATAAATTACAAATGTAAATTCTTTTCAGTGTATTGTAACATACATCCTTAAAACTCACAGTCAGGCTAAAGGAAGGTTTATTTGATGAATTGAAACTGTCCATTTGATTAAAGGCCACATCCTGCATCAATACATTTTCCTTCGTATTTTTTCACATTTAAGTTAGAATACATGGTAAAGTTTACAGTCAAGCCAATTCACTATTAACTGAATGCTTTCAAAACACTGAATTTCCAGCTAGCTTGTTTCTTTATGGTCAGTATAATTAACTATTGGTGGCTACAGTAGAAACAAAACTCTGTACATACACGTGCATATATATAAATATTAGGACTGCGGTCAGACGAGGCTTGGTACACAACCTTTTCTGATCTTGATTGCTTATTTTAAAATAGAGTCAGGCTCATGCATTGCTAATTCAAATTACATGCATCAGCTTATAAATACCTACACAAAAGTATTCAGAATTTAACACAGCTAACATCTTAACCAAGCAATGCATTTACACTTTTTTGAAATCCAAAATTAATTTTGAATATGAGGATCAAAACATCTATCTTGTATTCTTTAATCAGCCATTTTACGTTAGTAATGCAGTAATGTTGACATGAAGTTGCTTTGAGCAATATAAAACATATGCCACGGTGCATTCATTAAATAACTCCGCATAATGAGTTCCATCTATATAAATGACTTACCTCATTACTTATCACAAGTTCTTCTCTAGGACTGTGGAAGAGGTATTCATATAGTTTATAGTGTTTAAATAAGCTGGAAAACAAGAGAATATAGTACTATTACAGATGTAAATCTTTGGAAAGGCAAAAATATTAAAAATTCTGTTACACTAAGAGTTACTCTCCAGCATGGTAATGCTCCATATTTTAAAAAGAAATGGTTGTTTAACTTCAGGTACAATATGCAGAATATTTAATTTACAGGATTCACTATAAGATGGCCATAGAAAATACAGTATGATACTTACAAATACATCCAATTTGTCCTTATGAAATTGAACTCTGAGAAGACAAAGTTCTGCTCTGAAAAAAGTAATTCCTGAAACACTTATCACCAGGATACTTATGCTTTTAATATCAGCAATAGTGGACAAGAAGGAAACAAAGCCAAATCAGCTTTCAGATTCTGGGATGGGCTGCCAGTTCAGGGAGCAAGTTTGATGTTGGAACACCAAAACAATAAAGAATGGAAGCATTTATTCTCTCAAGGTCATGTTTCAAAATCAGCATAGTATTTCACAGAATCATAGAATTCATCATCATCATAATATCCTCAAAGAAAAGCTAAAACACTAGACTGACACACTGGAGTTTCGTGTATTACAACAAAAGTAACTTTAAGTAGAATTTCTCAATGGCCTAAAATATTTATCTTCCTCCAAACATACATGGCTTTCCTTTTCACATGTTTTAAATAATTTTCCTTGTTCCCTTTCCTAATGATCAATGATATGTCATTTGTTTAATCAAAGGTTTGGTTTTCACAGTCCATCTGTTACAATTACTTGTTCTCTTAAAATTATGATACAGAACTTCTGGCTTCTATCATGTCATTTTGACATATGATTTAAAACACAGCTCTGTGAATTCATAGCAAGTCCAGGTTAAAGAATGATTCCAAGAGTTTATCACACTCCTGCCTGATGTACCCATGAAAGATACAGCGATATTTGCAGGGAACATCTGTAACCGGTTCCTGTGCTTTCTGGCTAAGGACAGGAAGCAAGCTCTTTTCTTAAGAGAGCCATCTATTGGGATGGCAATGCCTCTCTGCTTGGCATTTGCAAGGCCACATCTGGAATACTGAAGCCTGCTGCGAGGAGGGTTTTGGACTAGATGGCCGCCAGAAGTACCTCCCAACCTCAATTTCTCTATGGGTCTATGAAAGTAAATACTACACCCAACATACACAATTATCCAGCCAATGCTAAAGTCACTGCTACTAGTTGCAGAATATCATGCAAATGCTATGAAAATGCGTTTATGATACCAGTGCCTGGCCACACAACCCAGCACAGGCTGCTCAAGATGTGGAGCTTCCCAAGGCTCCCAGAGAGCCAGCTCCTGCAGGAGGACTGGTGGTGCCCCACGGCACTGAGGCTTCTCTCCCACCCGGCAGCCTTGCACCCCGGCACAGCCAGCAGAAGGGCTCCACCAGCCAGCTGCGTGCAAAGCGAGAGGCTGCTGTGGAGAGACACAGGTGTCTGAAATACAATCCTGGCTCTGGGAAGTAATGGGGAAGCCAGCTGTGGAAGTCGATGCTCAGTAAACACTACTTTAGCTGACTGTCCTTCCCTGAATCACCACCAATATTTACATGCTGCCACAGGACCAGAGGTCGCACGAAATATGGAATACCAAGGACAATTGCTCCAATTTAAGCAGTGCTAAAGTGCCAACTAACGTACAGCAGTGGTTCTTCCAGTCCATGAAAGCAGCTCAGAATTAGGAGACTAAAATGGTGGCATGGCCTGCCTCTCTTACATGACAACTGCACATCTTCCAGCAATTAGTCAAATGCATCTGTTTTTACCCAAATGGGCGCAGACGTTTTTGCACATATGTACAGATGCATTTCCTAATTTGGTGAGAAGTATTATGGCAGCCTCATTGAACATTTGGCTCTTTAAGTGCCATATAAAAGTTTTATTCTACAGTTACATTTAATTCAGTCATTCAATTACTACTAGTTAAAAAACAAATTTGTTTATGAACTTGCATAAGAAATTTGGCCACCATAAAGTAGAAGTTCCCTTCCCCCAAACCCAAAGCACATAAACAATTAAGTTGTTACAATATTTGCCATTTCATTTGCCGTACATTTTATTGCAGTACTTCACCAAAGAATTCCTGCCATGTCTCAGTGAAGATATAGGAATGATGTTTAAGCAGACTTCAGGACTTAACCTGGAAATGACTCACACCAATTTATGAAAACACACATGTCCCCTCACATACCCACCTATTATTTGGTAAAATTCTAACAGGGATTATTTGAAAAAGACAAAAAATATTTTATGAACATCACAGACACACAGGAAATAAGATATATATCTTTTAAACTGCACTGGCAGAATGCACCATTTCAAACTTTTTTATTTATTCCTATGCCTTGGAAAGGAGCCAGATTTACAGCACCTGAAAATCAGTTCTTCCCCTTCCCCTCTAAATGTGTTATATTCTTTATGGACTATGTTACATATACAGATAATTTATAATATTCCCCCAAAAAATAATTCATTACTTTTGGCATTTCTGAATTTTATTTATTTATTTGTAAGCCGAATTCTGTTCAACCTGGCACCCTTAACCCTATATCAAGGAAAGAATTCCTCCATTTAATGCTCTTTAAAGCAAATAATGTAAATTATACATCAGTATTTATTTTGAAATACCAGTGTAGTTTTCTTTCTTCTATCAGGCATTATATAAAATGCTTTTTTGTTTATATCTGTTGAGAACAATTAAAAAATTCTGTACCATCATTTTAGAAGTTACACAAAAATAATTTTACTCATGCAAGAGAGATTGTTAAGAATAGACCCTCTTATGATGTCATACGAGAATCTGAAGGTGATTAACAATGACATATTTCCCTAGCTCCACTGCTTCCTGAAAGAAAATGTCAAGAGCTATGTTGATGTGTGTTTGCCCAAGGAGACAAGATAAAAAGATGATAACTGTCACCTTCCACCAAACCCAAAGGTGTCATTATAGCAGCTGCACAGTTTGTGCCAATGTGGTTAAGCATTTGTCCCCATTTCCATTATAAATCCCATGGGTTTATAACTCATCTGTAAAAATGTGATCTGAACTAAAATGTGTCATACTATCTTGAGTAGAAAAAAAAAAGTGATAGACCTATCATTTAAAATTAAACAAAAAAGTGAAGAACAAGAAAACATGTTGAACTAATACATTAATTTGAATTGTAATAAAACACAGTCAATCTATTCCTGAGTTCATAAAGTTTGAAATACACCCACATAAGAAGAGTGCTGATTCAGTTGTTATTTAGAAAAAAAATATTCAAATGACTGAAATAATGGATTGTATAAACTGGACACATATGACACACTTCAGTGTATGTGTATATATCCGTGACCTTGCAACAGCACATACGTGTAATAAATTGAGCAGCTTGAACATAAACCCGCATATTTGGTGGCCAAAATACCATTTTGCTGCAAAAGTCTGTGGCTTGATTGTATTCCTACCCAGTTAATACTTCGGTGGTAGGAGGATGGAGCACCTAATCTCTTGGATGAAATTCTTGTGACTATGAAGGAATTACTTCGTGGACGAGATAATTTTCAATGAATAATTTACACAAGAGCTATAGACATGCTATGTGGAAAGAACATTTGTTCCAAATAAATATACAAAAGGCACAGACAGGAAGGGAGAAGTAAAAAAAAAAGTTGAGTGAAACATCTTAAATGCCAAGTTTCCTTTTGGTTTAGGGCTAGTACTTGGCAGGACGTTGGTTTGCCTTGACTAAAGAAATTTGAGATTTAAAGAGATGTTCTCATTTCATACGGGAGGAACATGAAGTTTTTGATATTTTCATTTTTATATGAAAAAAAAAAAGACAAAAATGAGACAGCAGGAGAAAGAGACAAACGTTATAGCCCAATTGTAAGAGAAATCACCTGTGATGAGTTTAAACACCCAGTCTGAATCTAAGTACCCTAAACCGGAAGGGTATCAGCTGTCCTAGTACTTTTGTCTGCCTTCAAGAGCAAATACTTTTATGCATCCAAGAAAACATTCTAAACCAGAAAATGGGCTAAAAGGTACAGATGTAGTACATATACATCTATGTATGTATATATACAATAGTATATGCATATATTACAACAGTACCTTTTCCATGTTCCATCTCCTTGCCCCCCAGATTCATGATTGATACAACAGCTTGAGATCAATTCTGTCCATCATGTATTGGACACAGTGGTGTATAAGCATAGCCACTGTCTTAACTATGGCACTTAAGTGGAGAAAAGTCTGTATACATTACTGTATAGTTAAGACTTTACATGGAGAGGTGTGATTGGCTGCCATTAGACCCTTAATATTTTTCTCAGATAAATAACTGAATTACTGCTGTTTGCATCTCTTTCTGTGCCTCTGTTTGAAAGATGACACCTGTCAAGAAACCTTTTCATGTAGATACCGAACTTCTGCTGTCTTTGAAACACAACTTTTCTGTGACTCGTACATGACCATAGTCTTAATTTTGTAAAGTACCTAACTTCAAACCATCTAAGAAGTCCACTACAACTGTCAAGGTCAGACAAATACTTAAAGTTACAGACCAGATCTAGGATTTTGTTCAACTGGAATCCAAAAATTGAGAGTTTTAAGAGCAAACCAAGAATATTCTGTATACGCTACTGCTCTCCCCTTTCCCTTTTATCACCCAAAACAAAACCCAGAAGGAAGCTTTTCAGCACAATCTTAAATTTTTATAATCTTCCAGTCTAAGTTTATTTCATGGGCTTTGACATCTGAGGCCAGATCTTTACTGCTACTTGCATATTCTCTCCTGTTTTTAATGTTGTAAAGTTTGGTGTCCGCGTTATGTTGGCACAGTATGAACACATCATAGAATCCTAAAATGCTTTAGGTGGGAAGGGACCCTAAAGATTATCTAGTTCCAACCCCACTGCCACAGGCAGGGACACCTCCCACTAGACCAGGTTGCTCAAAGCCCCATCCAACCTGGCCTTGAACACCTCCAGGGATGGGGCAGCCACAGCTTTTCTGGGCAACCTGTGCCAGTGTCTCACCACCCTTAGAGTGAAAAATTTCTTCCTGATATCTAAATCTACACTCTTCCAGTTTGAAGCCATTACTGCTCCAACTAAATAATTTTCGCTTATTTTAGCAGCCCACTTCCTACCACGTTAAATTATTCAAATAAGAAATAACAGTTCCTATAGAAATAAATACCTGATATTCAAGTAATCAATGACTGCTTTGGCTTGCTCAATGCTGAAGAAATTCAAGTCACCACCTCTTTCTGAATCAGTTTCTCCTATTCCAGCCATTGCTTTTCCAAGTTCTTTTAAATTATCTCCTAAGGTCATATGTTTGTCTGCAAAGAAATCCCAAAAAAATAAGCATAAACAGAGCAGGGTGGGGCGGGTTTTTTTGTTCTACTTTAATTGCAAGACTTCTTGAAGCTTAAGAAATTACATTATGAGCCATGTAGAAAGTTAAGAAGCAACAGCAGTCAAACCATTTTGCCTGTTGTCATTATTCTTATCAATAAAATGCACATTAAAATGCCACCACAAAATCACTGACCCACCTTCATAATGCAAGGATCACAATAATGCGAGTTTAAAATACTGCAGCTTGGCCTCTTATGCAGAGATAACCACAGTCAGAATAGTGTGTAAATTTGAGATGCATAGTATGTTTATCTTTGAAACAAATTTACTACTGTTTATGTATTGTAAAAGATTGTTCTTCTGACCATGCCCCTTGCAATATAAACCAGTAATACAGGAACAGATGTTAAGAAGGGTAACCATTTTTTTTAAGTCCTTACAGTCATAATTGATTAAACATGAATATGCATAATATTCTGCATGCATCATCAAACTTGGAGACATTTTTTCACCTGAAAAATCTGAACTATATCAGCATTTGCTTTATATGAACCTTTAAAAAGAAAGGATTCATCTTTCTGATTTGCACACAGTCTGCGCTATGACTAGAACCACGGTGGAGTTTAAAAAAAAAGTTTTGAACGTAATTTACCTGTTCTTTTTAAGTCTAAAAAAAATCTAGAGCAGAAAATGGGGAAATATCCACCAGTGGTGAAATAGATTTATTTTCCTTATTGTTTTAATTCTCTACTGATATGCTCCTTGGTTCCTTGTACAGAAAAAAAATTAAAAAACTCACAAGATTCGGGTCTTATAGTTTTGCCCTTTAGTGGTACAGCAATCAAAACCCTGAAAATTTCACCTCAGATTTCAGTAACAGAGGCACCACAATATAAATAACTAGAATGGAAGAAACAAGAAAGAAATACAGAGAACGTGGAGAAAACAGAATGGAATTGAGTAGAAGCCATGGGAAATAAGAAAGAGCAACAGAACCAGAAATATCACAGTTAGTAGGGAAGTGAAGACACATAACAAGATCATGAGAAATCATAACACCCAGGCCCAGCTCTGTCGCCAGCTAGTCAAAATTTTCTTTTTCCTCTGCACAACTGATTTTCAGACCAAACTACCTCTCTCAGGAAGGCTCTCACAGTACTTTTGTGAGGTAAGGAGCACTTTATCCTCAATGTATAGAAGATGAACCAAATCATGTAATTCATCCTGGCTCCAAATCAACCGAAGCCTCCAGTTTCCAAACCTCAGTTTTCCTCTCTCCTTTACCCGCCTTAAATGAGTTTCCACTACTCTCATTCTCTAAATCCATTCTTTCTGCTCCATGCTATTCTTGCTATTATGGTCAAATCAGCTTAATTCTCCAGGCCAC